AAGTGGTAAACAATAATATGGTAACTTTAGTGCGGTTATTGTGTTCAATACAGCAAATTTATATTTATTTTTTATTATTATCACACTGGCCGATTCCCACCAAGGCAGGGTGGCCCGAAAAAGAAAAACTTTCACCATCATTCACTCCATCACTGTCTTGCCAGAAGGGTGCTTTACAGTACAGTTTTTAAACTGCAACATTAACACCCCTCCTTCAGAGTGCAGGCACTGTACTTCCCATCTCCAGGACTCGAGTCCAGCCTGCCGGTTTCCCTGAATCCCTTCATAAATGTTACTTTGCTCACACTCCAACAGCACGTCAAGTATTAAAAACCATTTGTCTCCATTCACTCCTATCAAACACGCTCATGCATGCCTGCTGGAAGTCCAAGCCCCTCGCACACAAAACCTCATTTACCCCCTCCCTCCAACCTTTCCTAGGCCGACCCCTACCCTTCTTTCCTTCCACTACAGACTGATACACTCTTGAAGTCATTCTGTTTCGCTCCATTCTCTCTACATGTCCGAACCACCTCAACAACCCTTCCTCAGCCCTCTGGACAACAGTTTTGGTAATCCCGCACCTCCTCCTAACTTCCAAACTACGAATTCTCTGCATTATATTCACACCACACATTGCCCTCAGACATGACATCTCCACTGCCTCCAGCCTTCTCCTCGCTGCAACATTCATCACCCACGCTTCACACCCATATAAGAGCGTTGGTAAAACTATACTCTCATACATTCCCCTTTTTGCCTCCAAGGACAAAGTTCTTTGTCTCCACAGACTCCTAAGTGCACCACTCACTCTTTTCCCTCATCAATTCTATGATTCACCTCATCTTTCATAGACCCATCCGCTGACACGTCCACTCCCAAATATCTAAATACGTTCACCTCCTCCATACTCTCTCCCTCCAATCTGATATCCAATCTTTCATCACCTAATCTTTTTGTTATCCTCATAACCTTACTCTTTCCTGTATTCACCTTTAATTTTCTTCTTTTGCACACCCTACCAAATTCATCCACCAATCTCTGCAACTTCTCTTCAGAATCTCCCAAGAGCACAGTGTCATCAGCAAAGAGCAGCTGTGACAACTCCCACTTTGTGTGTGATTCTTTATCTTTTAACTCCACGCCTCTTGCCAAGACCCTCGCATTTACTTCTCTTACAACCCCATCTATAAATATATTAAACAACCACGGTGACATCACACATCCTTGTCTAAGGCCTACTTTTACTGGGAAAAAATTTCCCTCTTTCCTACATACTCTAACTTGAGCCTCACTATCCTCGTAAAAACTCTTCACTGCTTTCAGTAACCTACCTCCTACACCATACACTTGCAACATCTGCCACATTGCCCCCCTATCCACCCTGTCATACGCCTTTTCCAAATCCATAAATGCCACAAAGACCTCTTTAGCCTTATCTAAATACTGTTCACTTATATATATACATATATATATACATTATGTACAGTATTGGTCTCTCAGTCCCCAAATGTTAGTAGGAAAAGAAAAAAATAAGAAAAGACAAAACTACAAAAAACGTTAAATAAAGTAATGCACGTATGTGGAAATCGTCGATGTTGCTGCCACCTGGCCATTTTGGGTAAACTTCTTGGCACTGTGTCTCGGTAAGTACTGATCAGAATTTTTTTTTTTGTCTTATTACCTTCACAAAAATATACTCTCTAATTCTGTAATTTTTTTTTTCTTTTCCAAAATTTCTTGGACACTGGAGCACCACTTCAGATTTTGGCCTTAGACCCTGAAAGGGTTAAAATATCTTTAAATAAAAAAAAAACTATTTTTGCATGTGATGGATGTCAAAATGGATGGAAAGTGTTGTATGGGAAAGGCTAGCTTTTAACCCTTTCAGGGTCCAAGGCCCAAATCTGGAGTCACGCACCAGTGTCCAAGAATTTTCCAAAAAAAAATTTGTTATTTTTTCTTATGAAATTGTAGAGAATCTTTTTGTGAAGGTAATAAAACAAAAAGTACGAAATTTGGTGGAAAATTGACGAAATTATGCTCTCGCGAATTTTGATGTGTCAGCGATATTTACGAATCGGCGATTTTGCCGACTTTGACTCCCATTTTAGGCCAATTACATTATTCCAATCAACCAAATTCTTAGCTATTTCACTAGTATTACTTCTATTCTATCGATTGAGCACAAGAAATCGCCAAGTCAACTGTTTCAACTACAAAATAAAGTGATCGGAAATTGTTAATTTGGCCAATTTAACACAAAGTTCAAAATATTCCAATTTCAAAATAGGGTCCAGAATGAACAATGTAGGCATTCCTGGCACTAAACTAACATTTCCTCTGTTCATTAGTTATGTTTTGAGGCTTTACAAATAAATTCCATTTTGATTTTTTATTCACATAATGAATTTTTATTCACACCAAAAAATAGAAGATTTACTGTTATGCAATACTGTAATAATTGTATAAATATCATCACCATATTTGTGAATGTATATTAGACCCACCAGCTGACGTGTATTAGACGTGTGAGGTCGTTTGTTTATTCTTGAATATCGGCAAAAATTTAACATTTCCGCTACTTTGAGCTCAGTTTCAAGCCATTTCCAATGCTAAAACCAATCAAAATCATCTCTATTTCTGTAATATGTCTTCCATTCTATCAAATGAGACCAAGAAATCGCAAATACAACTATAAAAAAACATATGAAAAAACACTGCAAAGTTGCTGTTTTAATCGAAAAATCATGATTTCATTTTTTTTCTCTCATTATACACAGTGTGCTGCAGGATCTGTTTTATGTGGTGCACACATACCACATAGATGTATTCTCTCATATCTAGGCCCAAATGTACCACTCACAGTTTATCAGAGTGAGCTGAGCTCATGGCGTAGATCTACGGTTTGGACCCTGAACGTAAAGCCGTAGATCTACGGGACGGACCCTGAAAGGGTTAAATTAGAATTCCTTGTGCACAATCAATAGAATGAAAAGCATACTAGCAAAATATCTTAAGAATTTGGGTAAATTGAGCAATGGAATTTGCTCTCAGATTGCTAACTATATGCCTGTATAATTCTAAATTTTCCATCAGGTTTCACATTATGGCATTTTCTTCTTTTTTTAAATCCTGCCTTTGTCAGCACTTTTAATTTTAGGTCTTCCAACAGTAAATGAGTTGAGGCACAGTACTATACCTAAATCAGTTTGTTTTATATTTAAATGTATTTATCTTGAGCATGATGTGTAAAACTTTTTTTTGTGAAATGGTTATAATAGGCTGGTAGTCAGCATCCACCCAGGGAAATACTGCTGGTCAGTCAATAAATGTCAGTAAATGTTTGCACTTTGGCAGTCATGTTGTGATAATCTTTTCTTTGTTTCCTTAGCATCCAAGATTTCAGAGATAGCCCACGCATCTACTGTATAATAATATGTATATACTTACTGTTTATTTCCTGTGTGATTTGTACTAGTTTTTATTCCTCTTCTAATACAGGATATGTCTGAGACTGGGCCACATGGGTGATGATCTGTGAAATTTAATAGATTCACTGTATAGCACAACCTTTGTCTTTACATTCCTACTCATCCCATTAGAATGTATTTGCTGTAGTAACAAAGTTTGTTTTATATCTAGCCAACCTGCCTTGAACAATGGTCTAAAAGCTTGGAGAAATTACTCCAACAGTAGATATAGTTTTTGTGAAGGCTTACTCAGCCCTGTAACAACTTCAGACAGTATTACCAAGGCTGGCTCCTCCTCAGGAAAATTAGTGAATAGAGAAAGAAATAATAACAGACAAACATAAACACTTTATTAAATAGAAATTTAAAATATAAAACACTTAAATATGAAATATTAATCCTACATTAAAGAAAATGAAAAATGAAAAACTTAATTCAACGCTAATATATATAGGGGTGTCTGGTGTTGGCGACACTGTTGTTGTTGAAATCGTAGCCGTTGCTGATGATGGGGGGGGTGGTCGCAGGTGTTGGTTACGACCCACTGGCTAGTTCTTCACAGTAGATAGGGCCTTGAGTATTCTATCCCGATGACAGGAAAGCAGGTTCTTTACCGCTGCAATGATGAGGGGTTACGTCCTGCAATTTCCTACAGGTGCACAGGTAATTAAATCCAAAATGGGACGTCTCCAGGACGTTAGTCCGTCTCCTGTTCTTCTCGTTGATTGACAGGTGACCCTCACTGTCATCCAAGCTGAAAAGATAGACAGGTTACCCACTGCTTAAAAATCACTCTCCATGGCAAGTACAATACCTAAAAGATGTGGTGATTATTACAACAGTTAGCTTAGAGCAAGGCTGAAAAGACTAATTTTATTATTGATCAAAAGTGAAGCTTTCAACCAATAAAGCCACTAGAATACAAGGCAGGCATGTACAGTGGACTCCCGGTTAACGATATTTTTTCACTCCATAAGTATGTTCAGGTGCCAGTACTGACCGAATTTATTCCCATAAGGAATATTGTGAAGTAGATTAGTCCATTTCAGACCCACAAACATACACGTACAAACGCACTTACATAAATACACTTATATAATTGGTCGCATTCGGAGGTAATCGTTATGCGGGGGTCCACTGTACTTACAGTAGTGTTGGGAGGTGTGAGTCGACTGATTTACTGTTTGACCAGAGCCCCACACGTCACCTTTCGGGGAGGGGGGGGATAGCGGGAGCTAGTCTGACATTACCTTAACAAGCAGCCGGCAGTCAAACTATCACTTTCAGGGAGGGGGAAAAAAGGCGGGAAAAAGCGGGAGCTTGACTTACCCTACCTTAACTAGTAGCCGGCAATGAAACTATCACTTTCGGGGAGGGGGAAGAAAGGCAGGAGCTTGACTTATCCTACCTTAACTAGTAGCCGGCAATGAAACTATTGTTACTATATACTCCCTCTCTATTCCTATCTATTGAACTTTTCCCTCACAGTTTTCATTTTCAATTCTCAAAACTTTGTGTTTCTTTCAGGTCTCGTTCTCATAGTCCTACCCCAGAGAAGAAAAAATCACGCAGTCGCTCAAAATCTGCTGAAGCAGAGAGTGACTCTGAAGAAGAAAAGTAATCAGTCTAACTGGTTGTGGATTGTGCATTGTCAGTACAATTGGATAATAATTCCTTTCAGATTAAAATGAATATGTATGTTTCTGAGCATTTTGAAGTTGTTGACTGAGACCCCATATATTTTTAATGTGAAATACATTATAAGATTGAGTCTTGAAAGAATTTCCTCCTTGGATTAGAAGAATGAACCAGTTATCACTGCCATTTTGCTGGCAGTTAAGATTCATTTTCTATAAACAGATAGTAAAAACCATTAAAACTGCACTAATTGCTGTGCAGGATTTTTTTTAAAAGGCTTGGGAGGTGGGTATAACTAGCATCAAAATGGTTCATTGCTTTAGCAATGAGCTAATTAGAATTCTATTTTCCTTTACTTCTAATCTATGTACTGATTTATTATAGAAAATCTGCAGTTTATTGAGGTATGGACTTTTAATTTATTAAGATTAAACTTGAGCATTAGCACCCCACCCTAACATTTGAATTTGTTTTAAATCAACACTGAAACAATTGTATAATTGGAATGAAGGAATATTAATATGTTAGTCAAACTTAGTTACTAGACTTTTATCATTTCACCCCTCAAGGGAGGTACCTTGATGCTGGTGAGGGGTTCTTGATCCAAGGAACTGGACCTGCCCTCCCCTTCCTTGGATTGAATCTGATTATCTCCCCTGGTGCTGCATATCTCCTGTGGGTTTAGTGCATCCCACTGATTAAAAAAAAAATTGTCAGTTCACTTAGTGGAATGATAATCACTGTGAATGTTACAAAAAAATGCACTACTGTAATTGTAATTACAGTTAGGAATCATTTAAGTATAATATGCAGGAGAATTCAGTTTTGTCAAATGGCAATATTTTGGGCATAAAGTATTGCCATATTGCCCTCATGAATTTGCACATTACATAAACTTTCTCTTGAGGAAATATTGCCTAGTGTTCGATTATACACCTCAGATTTCTATGAATACTGATCACTTAGTTTCATGGAATAATTATAATTGTATACCCTAGGAGGATAAAACTTCTATTTAGGTGTATTTTATAAATGAATTTGATATATTGAAGGCATTTCTTATTGGTTCTCACTGTTGTTGGAGAATGTCTCTGCACCACTGTGCTGGAAGGATATTGAGGATGTGTGGTATTTATCAGCTCTGGGTACAGTACACAAAAGTAAGTGTGTCTGTGTGTCTGTCAGACTGCAGTAAGATTATTAAAGCCGATTTACAAAATTAGTGCATTCATGTCTCAAAAATGAAGATTACAAAAAATTCCCTTAGTCTAGTGACAAAAGTGGATTTGTTTCTTCATACACCAACTTAATTTTTAAATTGTTAAATATTTTGATGCCCTCTAAACAGGAAACTGAAATTAGATCATTAAGACTGATGCTTGTGCCACTTTGACAGTTCCTACAGTATCCTTTCTGCATTAAAGTGCTTTGATGATCCAGGTGTTAATTGGAACTTTTGGGTGTTGCATAATAGTGTTCACAGCATGAATGTTAATTTGAATGAGTGAGGTTAAATTTGTTTATCAAGAGTTTGTAAGTATTCTACTTGCAAGTGTCATTCTATTATATTTTGAGACTGCTCATAGATTATTTATATAAAACAGCAGTTAAAAACCTTTATCAAACATTATTTAAGTGCATTTAAAAACCACGAGATATTATTTATTTAATTTCCAGAAAGCAATACTTTGGCGAGTCGTAACAATTATGATGTTTGGTACATATGATCTGGAATGTTAGTGTAATATATATTTATGTACAGAATTTAGTGTTAATGTTTGGTGAATAAAGCCCCAAATTGAAAGTAAAGTATACTGTAATAAAATTATAAGCTAAAATAAGACAATTTTGTGTAAATAATTGTAAGTTTTTGGATGCCAGAATAAACATTGTATATAAAAATGCACTTTATTCTTCTAAAGTAGCTTAAAGATTCAATAAAAAATAAACTACTTTCATAAGAAAAAAAAACCTCTTGAGCTAACACTGCATTTTTCTATGCCCACTTCTTTAAATTTTAAGGTACTGAATAGCAGTTGTACATTCATATCCTAGAATACTTCATGGTGTTCTGTTAATTCAGCAGTTTTCAATTATACCCGTTGTGTATTATGTTTGGTACAAAAATATTTGGAAAGAGTGAAGCTTACAGAAAAATAGTCCAAAAATTTTTTTAGTGTTTCTACAGCAATTTATATTAACTATAACATTTGATGTGATGGCATCACAGGTAATATGCATATATCTTTGCATTTAGTGAATTTTAAGCATTTTTCACAGATGTATATTTATTTGCTAATTCATTAGAATTGTTATTTGGCATTACAAATTAGTAGAAGCTATGCCAGACAAGGAAGTAGCTAAGAGTCTCTCACTAGCATCGGATAGATATTGGCACAGGAAACGTGTTGCTCTGGGTTGCTATAAATGTCATATATATATTATAATTTTTCATTAATTCATCTGACATGTTTTGGAAAATTATATAACCATGCTACATATAAACATAATGCACACAGCCATACTATAACACATCGATGTAATTGTGGTGTGTGATAGCCAGGTGTACATAAGAGAATTCATGGCAAGAATTATAAGTTGCTCTTTCTAGTTTACTACCATCAGAAAAGCTATGTATTATAAGAGTTAACTATAGAAAAACCCTTTATATGCCTTTAATCATAAAAAGCATCACTTTCAAAAATTAAAAAAAAATTTCACTAGTAATATGCTTCACCATGTTTTTGAATATCTCAAAAGTTATTTACTTATTTACTGAAGACACACTATTAACCCTTTGACTGTCGCAACCCCAAATCCTGAAGCGTCTCCTGGTGTCAAAAAATTTTTTGGGGAAAAAACAAATTTAATAAATGATAGAGAATCTTTTCCCGATGGTAATGACACCAAAAGTATGAAATTTGATCAAAAACTTAAAGAATTACGCTACCGTGAAGTTAGCGATATATACACATTGGCAATTTCGCCAACTTTGAGCCCTATTTTCAGCCAGTTCCATTGTTCCAGTCAACCAAACTCGTAGCTATTTCTTTAGAACTCCATTTTTTTTCTATCAGTTGAGTACAAGAAACTGCCCATTTACTGATTTCAACTACCCAATAAAGTGGTCATAAATTGGCAATTTGGCCATTTTCACGCAAATTAAAAAAGATGCCAATTGCAAAATAGGGTCCAGAATAAACGATGCAGACATTCTTTACACTAAAATAACATATCCTTCGTTCATTAGTCACAAATCCAGGCCCCTCTTATATTACTTATATATTTCCTTTAATTGCCTTCCCTTAATTTTGATTAAATCCGATTATCTCCCATTCCCCCAGCATTATACGCCCCATCTGTGGGTGTAATGCTTCCCACTAAAAATGGTGGTGTTGACTGAATAAAACCTGTACACTAGCTTCCACATCAATAATTTTGCTCATAAATGACCATGATCATAAATCATCTTCCATAGCACTGGCTGAGGGTTTTCATGCCAGTCATCCAAGGTTATTACATTCATTGGGGCGAGCAATAATTATCATGCACTAAACCCATAGGGATTTTACAGGGGAGAGGGCAATAAACCTGTGGGAACTAGTGCCTGGGGAGATGGAAGGTATTCAGGCTTGATTCAAAGATTTGGACCATAGGTCCAATTCCTTGCATCAAAACCTCTTTTTGAGTGGGGTCCTCAAAGATTTTTTTTTTTTTGTGGGTGGAGACACTAGTCCAAATGCCTTTTTGCATGATTTGTGTTTTCTTTATCAAGGGTTCACAACTACGTACTAAACCCATGAGGGTCATACAGCACTGTAGGCAGGGTGTGCTAAAAGGTGAAATATGCCTAATCAGAGACCAAGGGTGAAGAGTATGACAGTGAGTAGTGTTAAAGGAAGCATAAACAAAGTTGGTGTTTGACAGCCAGGGGCACAGCTTACATAGATAAAGGTAAAGGAACTACCTAAAGATCTTGACATGTACTTTTTCTTCTATTGGAAGTTTATGCTTGCAGGAACCTTATTTAAAACTGGTGACTGACATTTACTATGCTTCATATCCTGAATCTTGCTGTGCAGTTGTAGTCAGGGTTTAAAATTACAGGGCTCAGATTCAGGAATTTGGATATTTTATTTTTGCCTCATTATACATAAATCAAAAAGCACTGAACCACAAGGGCTATACAGCTCTGCCTCATGTAGAGGACAGGTCAATTACCCCCAGATAGGGTAGTTTTTGTCCTTCCTTGCTTGATGCTGTTGTTGTGATAATTGAACTCGACCCCAGCACTTCATGACCTAATAATACCCCTCTCCTCAAGGAAGGTTCTTTGATGCTGGTGAGGGGGCAAGGAAGGTTCTTTGATGCTGGTGAGGGGGCTCCTGATCAAAATTGGATCTGTGCTCCAGTTCTCTGAATTAAGCTTGAATACCTTCCACCCCATCCCCGTGTGCTGTATAATCCTATGGATTTAGCGTTTGATTATTGTAATACCCAATACCCCTGCACCCGTTCCTGCTGTGCTGTATGACATGTAGGTTTAGCACTTTTCTTGATATAATCATCCCCTCAAGGGAGGTTCCTTGACGTTGGTAAGGGGCTCTTGATGTAGGGAATTGGATCTGTGCTCCAGTTCCCTGAATTGAGCCTGAATACCTTCAATCCCTCCCCCCCCCCCACATGCATTGTATAATCCTAAGGGTTTAGCACTTCCACATGATTATAATAATAGATATAATCATGGAGGAGTGCTAATCCCATAGGATTATACAAGCCACAAGGACTATACAGCATAGGATTATACAGTGCATGTGGGGGAGCAGGGAAATAGAAGTATTCACTCGTTCAGGGAACTGGAGCACAATCCAATTCCCTAGATCAAAAGCCCCTTGCCAGCTTCAAGGAACTTCCCTTAAGGGATAGTGTTTTGAACTTTTAATGGTTAGTGCTCTTTCTCCTCGCTGCAGTCCCATCTAGCACGAAACCCATAAAGGTCTACAGCAGCACTATTAAACTCGGTAAAGGATGAGTACTGGCAAACCTATTACAAAGCCAGAAACGGGCTAGATGCTAGAGGCGCATCAACAGGTTGACCTAGTGTTCCTGGGTAGATGCCTGCTAATAGACATTGCATTTGTAACACTTTATATCCTGTTGTCTATCTCATTGTTTGCTGCATCGCCTCTGTTACCATAATCACAACGGAGTGCTAAATCATAGGGGCCGTACAGTGCTGCTTATTCTTGCCTTGCTGTATAGCCCTTGTGGCTTAGTGCTTCTTTTTGATTATAATAATTATTCTTGCCTTTTCCCAGGTGCTATGTGACCCCTATAAGTTTAGCTTTTCTGCCCTTAATAATTACATCGTGAATTATTTTTTTTATTTTTTTTTTTTTATTATCACACCGGCCGATTCCCACCAAGGCAGGGTGGCCCGAAAAAGAAAAACTTTCACCATCATTCACTCCATCACTGTCTTGCCAGAAGGGTGCTTTACACTACAGTTTTTAAACTGCAACATTAACACCCCTCCTTCAGAGTGCAGGCACTGTACTTCCCATCTCCAGGACTCAAGTCCGGCCTGCCGGACTTGAGTCCTGGAGATGAATGTAGTACCAAAACTAAACTAAACCAGGAATCTAGTATTATTTGGGAAGCATGAAGACTTTTGCTGGGTCCCTGGCTATTCTGGTATTTAGGGCAGTGGATTTGCAGACTGCACGTTCAGTGGTTCAGGACCTATCAATCTCTTGCAGCAACCTGCCCTTTACTAATTGTATCAAGGTATTCAGGGTCAATGGCAGTGCTGGATTAGAGGATGAAGAGCAATCCATCAAACCACAGAATTTTTGGTCAACTGTTTTCACGTCATATTTGAAGAAAATTATAATAAAACCCAAGTGCTAAACCCACAAGGGTCAAACAATACTGAACTTTCAAGAAAAGGCTCTTCATTATAAAAAAGAAGCACTAAACCGCAAGGGTTATACAGCACAGCAGGGCAGGGAAAATGGATGATTAGGGTATGGAGTGCAGCAAGGCAGTGGATAGTGCATGGGTAGCGGGTAGCTAGATGCATGTATTAAGGTAGAAAGGACGGAGGAGAGTGCTAGAGACATCAGTGTGTGTAGTAAATCACTTGCTGTCAAAAAGTAAATGAGATAGTCTGGATTAAAGGAGGGTCCATCAGCAAGAAGGGAAGGTAAAGACAGGGCAGCGGAGTGGAGACTGACAGGTAAATTCTGCGTGCTCATTGATAGTGGACAGTCCAACAGAATGTGGCTAACAGATACTGGAACTTGACAATTCTCAGAGAGAGGAACGGGGTGCCTCTCCATGAGTTAAGACAAGTGTGGCTGATGCGAAGACAGGAGAGATTAGTCTCTCAACATAGATGACAAAAAGACGGCCAGAAACCTACACTCGGTTTAATAGAATGAAGCTAGTGATGGAGCAGATCAGACCAACGTTGTTGCCAACAGGTGCGAAGGTGGGTAGCAATTTCAGCTAGTCTGTGAATGGAACACCTCTATATGAAACTGGGAGGTCATGTACTGTTCACCATGCAGCAGCGTCTGTCTGTTCACTGCCCTGTACATCAACAAAAAACAATACGTGTATCTTTGTGTTTGCTAGAGATACAGCGTAACCAGAGTTAGATACGAACTAGGGGGTGAGGTGTATCAGATTTTTGTATAGCCTGTAAAGCACTAGGAGTCTAAAATGACCACAAAGGCATAGATGCTATATGGATAAGTGCTACAAGAATGGCATACAATTCAGCTGTAAAAATGCTAGCTGAGGATAATAAACGTCCTCGCATGACACTGTCTGGAAACTGCTGCAAATCCAATGCTGTCAGAAGACTTAGAACCATTGTGAAGGCATGAAAATGAGAG